TACACCCAGACCCAGCTACCTGGCAGGAGTGCTGAGCAGGTGGAATGGGTTGGGTTGCAGGGGTGCCCAATAAGCCAAGGCCTCTGATATTGGTCCCTGAGTGGCTAATATTGGCCCAGTGGCTAATATGCCACTGAGTGTCCTGTTGGATTTGGGAGAAGGGTATTGGGAGTCTCTTTCCTTTCTTTTTTAGAAGCATACAGATTATTAATTTGGTGGATTCTTGTGTGCTGGATGGAGACTTGTTGAGTGCACCTGGATTAAATGGGCATGGATAGGTCTCTTTGTGCTCTCTGATGTTCAAAAGCAAAAGCCACCGGGAGCTCATGTTGCAGCTAAACTCATGTGAAACAAGAATATTCTTGTCCATGTCTCTGAATTTAATTTGTGAATATACAGAATGCAATGCTCATTCCTATTTTTCCTTTCTACATAACAGCCAAGATACATTGAACCTGTAGACAGATGTAGCCAGTATGTATGCATTAATATGGGATGGATGTTGTACAACGTTTCAAGGAACTGTCATAAGAACGTAGAGAAGCCTGACTGTGGTTTTCGAGGAATGCCAGTTCAAGTTAACAGTGATAGTTGTTGTCCTGAATGGGAATGCCCCTGTAAGTCGCATGTTGTTTATATTACATTCTCAACTGTGAAAAATTAAAATTTGATTATGCAAACATCAAACATTATAAATTAAGAATTATAAATTCAGGAGAGAGATTGTTTTGTGAGTAAAGCACTAGCCTGATATTCAGAATACATGGGTTCTATTCTTAGTTTTGCTACAGATTTTCTGTGAGAATTTAGGACAAAATATGTAATTTCTCTTCATCTAAAAATTAGGTATTCCATACCACATCGGAATATTGAGAAACTGTATCCATTAATGCTCACAAGGTACTGTAATACCAGAGTAAAAATGCAACAGAAAAACCTGTTCTTTAAAGTACATAAAATGGGCAGAGATTAATATTTTGTGGGAAAGCATAAATCAGCATTACTTTTATAAATTACTTTGCTTAATATGGTGATTTTGTGGGAAAGCATAAATCAGCATTACTTATATAAACTACTTTGCTTAATATGGTGATTTTTCCCCCTCTTGGAGTTTAGCATACAGATTTAAAATATACCACTTTGTAAATCAGGTTCCAGAACTACAACTCCCAGTGTGCCACAGTGGGAAAATATAATTTAATATTAACTGTCTTGAAATGTTTCAGGTCAGCTCAATCAGCAAATCAGAATGAAACATCAATGGCTATTAGTCAAGTTGGGTAGCAATGGTGTCCCTAGCCTCTCTTTGCCTGGAAATAGATGACAGGAGAGGGATCACGTGAGGATTACCTGTTGTGTTTGCTCCCTCTGGGGCATCTGGAATTGGCCACTGTCGGCCGCCAGGATACTGGGCTAGATGGACCTTTGGTCTGATCCAGTATGGCCGTTATTATGGTCTTAAGTTCTTAAAATTTTGTGAATGTAAAAACATTTTGACTGAAAATATTGAAATGGCATATTTTAACATTTCTATATTGATTTTTTTAAATTTCTCCTCCTGAAAACTGTCAAAATATCAACATTTTTCCCAATAGAAAAATAAATGTTGAAATACCAGAATTTCCTGCAGGATTTAGATTCCCAATGTTATTCAACTCTAATTGGGACTTGAAGCCTTAACCTCAATAGAAGCCTGTCATTTAATTTAAAGAGCATTGCATCAGACCCCAATTCTGACAATAGAAGCTCAAAGATTGTTTTTTTTTAAGGTATAACAAAGGTGAGGATTAAAATATAGATATTAGTCATACAGGTGTAAATATGACATTCTTGAGACCTCCATATTTCAGCCACATAGAAGAATGGCTGAGTCTCCCTTTTGACCCATGGAAATTACCCTCATTTTGAGTATTGCCAATAGAGCTATGGCAATTTGCAGCTGCTGAGGAACTATCCCTGTATCTAGCACATTCCTTAACTTTCTAGAGTTGTTGCTATTGAATAACATAAGGCACTTCTCTTCATGGAGCAGTGTACTGTGTGCAAAGCAATTCCAGCTAATAGTGGTGAGTTTTTGTTTTTGTAGAAGAGGCAACTATTGCCTCAAATAGAAGCTGTAAAGAAACTTGTAGCATTCAGTTTTGTGGTACCCTCATTAAATGTCATTTCTTTTTTAGGCCAATGTTCTGTACTGTCTGAACTGAGCATTATTACATTTGATGGAAATAACATAGCCCTCTATAATATGGCTTCCTACATTTTAGTCAAGCTCCCAGAAGAAATAATTGTTGCTCATATTGAAAAATGTCCCACTAACCGGGTAAGATGCTTGCATGCTATAACTCCTTCAATAACCTTAGTAATCTTGAATTCTTTTGTTGTGTGTGTTGATGTAAATGTGCAAAGGAACAGCATGAATTAACATGCAGTTAGTAGTGATAACCATTTTTTAAAATAGTAAATTATTTATATGTCAAAACACACGTTATTGTACCTCTTTGGAAATGAAACAGACCTCTGGGTAACTATTAATTGTTATATTTGTTATAAGGAAATGAAATTGTAGTTTTCTTTCTTATTGACAGATATTCAAGATCCTCAAAGGGTAAATCAGGATAGCTCCACTGAGGGGGTGATGGAAAGTGCAAATTATATATCCCTTTCCACTAGTCTGTTGCAATTGCACCCAGGAGAATTCAGTGCCATGAGAAGAAGGCAAGAGACACCTATACCACTGACTTCCTCCAGGGATTTTGCCTGTGATCCTAGCTTCAGGTTGCATTAGGAACTACACAATAGTCCTTCTGGACAGCAGATGCCTGAGTGATATGCTTAAAGTATCATATTCCCTGTCTACTTCCCCTTGCACCACTAGAATTGCATTGGCTGGATGCAGGTGTTGGGGGGACCTTGAATCGATGATACCTTTCTCTTGGTTGACTCTCTGTTAGGTTGCTGAAACTTGGTGAAACTTGGGGATGAATTAAGGTCATCATGTGAGTAGTCTGTGTGTGAGGGAGAGTCAAAGACTTTTTTGTTTATATTAAAATGAGTTTCACAAGGAAAATGGTCAAGAGTACATTTTTCTCTCAAATAAATTACAAGGCCCAGTATTGCAGTCCTTCTCCTTAGATAGTAAATGCCTATGCTGCTCTGTAGTAATGGTCTGGGACCTCAGTCCTGCATTGGGATTGCTCGTGTGGAACCTTGCACCTCTGTGACTGATTTCATTGAGAGGGCACAGGGGCAAATGGGCAAAGTCCACATAGGCTACATTAGCAAATATTAGGATTGAGACCAAAACACAACATTTTATATTACTACAGCAATGTTTTGGGTGATTAATGTTACTGCCTGGACCATTCCTTAGACCTCTCTATGTCCTTATCAAGTGCACCCCTCATATGACAAGCCTGGCTTCTTACATCTCACTCTGGGTAGAAAGAATCACATTCTCCAGCCACTGATAGACTGGCAGTCTTGGTGTTGGTGTCCTAGGTATGTTTAAACTACATCCCTCTTTTGAAATTAAATTAAATTAGACATATTGAAATTGCAAATGAACCTTAGACAAATCGAAATTACAAATGAAGTCGGGATTTGAATTTCCCATGTTTCATTTGCATAATCATGTCACAGTGGAAAAAAGCTTTTTTTGGAAAAAGCTATTTCACAAATGAAATCATGGTCTCGATGCGGTGCTTTCGAAAAGAAAAGTCTTTTTCGAAAGATCCTGTACTCCTCTAAAAATGAGGTTTACAGGATCTTTCAAAATAGGGTTTCCTTTTCGAAAGAACCGCATCTAGACCGCATTTTCACTTTTGAAATAGAGTTTTTCGGAAAAACGCCATGACACAATTATGCAATTGAAACATGGGAAATTCAAATCCCGGCTTCATCTGCAATTTCAATATGTCTAATTTACATCCCTCTTTCGAAAGAGGGATGTAGTCTAGACATAGCCTCCAGTCAGATTAATGTGACAGGTCTGCCTTAATTTGGCACCTATGAATTCTCTCACTGTGAGGGACCTTTGACCAGTGACATAGTTAAAACAGAGGCTGGTCAAGACAATTTACTGCTGAGAAAAACTTTTACGTGTCACCCCATACCTATTCCCTTAGGAATTCGTGACAGGCTCCAGGCACCTCCTTGTGTTCCAGCCCCTACCACCGCCACTTCTGCAGCTGGATTAAAGGATGATGGAGTAAACCCTAGCCTGGGTATGCAGAGGCTGCTGGGCCATGTTCATACACTGAGGAAACAGTTTGGCACCCGGGCAGGCTGAACTGAGTCAGACCAGGATGAATATCCCCTTGTCTTCTGCCTACGCCCTGCAAACAGATGAGACCTGTTCACTGGCTGGGCAATACCCCCAGCCAGGGCTGCCCTTCCCACTGGCTCGTTCCAAGATGATTGGCACCAGCTGCCCAGGAAATGAGAGGATTGGCACCAGCTGCCCAGCTCGAGAGGAAAAGGAGTCCCAGCCCCTGGATAGTAACAGATGTTTACCATGGAGCTGCTCAGCTCATCCACAACAGGATCTAGGCTCCAGCAGGGGCATTGCCCAGCCTGAAAGGCTCCAGTAACTGGGCAGTGTAGACTCCTTGTCACCCAGCCAGGGGGATGCTGGTCCCCCTCACACAGTGAGTGGTGGGCTTCTTCCCACTGGACAGAAAGTGGGTTTCTTTGCATCTGGGCTCCTGCTTGCCCAACCCAGCCCCACATCTCAGTCCTCCCATGGCTAGCTTACTACCCAGTCCCCTGCACACTGCGCCCCCAGAAATTCCTAGACTGCATCCCCCTGTGCCTCCCAGCAATCCCCACACCCTCCAGTCCTCCACCCTGAGCCTTCCTGGTGAGCTCATTGCTATTGGCTTTGTAGTTCTCTGGTGGCAGCTCCTCCACCACAGTTTGGACACAGTGGAGTTGAATCATGGTCTCAGAGTGAGTCCCATGCAGCAATGGTAACTAGGGCACAGGAGGTGTGAGAGTGGCAGGTAGGGGCTGAGCACTGGCATGGAGCCAGACAGGTCACTGTGCTTCTGCCTGAAGCCCCAGCAATGTCCATGGTGCCATCTGTGAACCATGGCCGTGACCTTACCTGTACAGGGCAAAGGATGAGAGCACTGCGGTCCTGTAATGTTCCCCTTGAGCTCTCTCTTCTCAGCCTTGACAAAACAGCTATGCCACCAAGATTGGGACCAGGGGGGTCATCTCCTCCAGGGATGCCCTTATGGTCTGTGGAGCCCTATTCAGTACTATTAACCTGGTCCCCCTATGCCCAATGGCATCTGAGTGTGGGGGGATTGATGATTTTTTAGAGAAGTGATTTTATAGTCTTCAGCAACACACTAATGAAATATCTTTAAAGCAAATTTTATTTTAAGGTCCTGTTGACTGAAGTCAGAAAATGAAAGTATATTCGTGGGGTTGACAAATGCCTGCTAAATAGCTTAATTACCACTAGAATGGCTCTTTCTCAGGTTCAATGTTTTGCTAATAGGTTTGGTGGGTGTTTTCACTTTTAAGTTAACTAGATTCTGGAGGAAGCAGAGCCACAGAGCAGTGATTGGAAGAGGTGGGTGGACACTAAGACCCAGTGGTGCCCCAAATTTTCAGGAACCCTACATAGCTGCATATTTTGCTATGGATAAGGGCAGCCCTAGTCTCTTCACTACTATAACTCTGGAAATTATAGGAATAGATATGTAGCTGTGTTAGTCTGGTCTAGCTGAAACAAAAAACAGGACTACGTAGCACTTTAAAGACTAACAAGATGGTTTATTAGGTGATGAGCTTTCGTGGGTCAGACCCACTTCCTCAGATCAAATGATCAATAAACTACAACCTATATTGGAACAGGATACTAAACTCCGAGATGCTCTGGGAGACAGACCCATAGTCTCCTATAGACAACCACTTAACCTCAAGATGATTCTTACCAACAACCACAGGACATACCCCACTAACAACAACCCTGGAACTTTCCCTTGCAACAAACCCCGTTGCCAGCTTTGTCCACATATTCACTCTGCTGATACCATTATTGGACCTAACCAACCGAGTTATAAGATCAAGAACACATATTCCTGCTCATCCAGAAATATAATTTATGCTATCATGTGCCGACAATGTCCATCTGCTATGTACATTGGACAAACGTCTCAGACACTTTGCCAAAGAATCAATGCCCACAAAACAGATATTATACAGAATCACAAAGAAAAAACAGTTTCTTGCCATTTCAACCAGAAAGGACATTGTCTCAACGACCTGATTACCTGCATCCTGCTTCAAAGACCTTTTAACACCAGACTTGAAAGAGAATCCTCTGAACTGTCATTCATGCTTAAATTTGACACTTTACACCTAGGTCTTAACAAGGACACTAATTACCTTACCCATTACAAAGATAGCTTCCCCAATTATCACCTCTAATATCATTAGCTCACATACATTTACCTCCCCCCATCTCCCTTCTGTTCTGAAATTTGATTTGTCCTTTTCATATGTGTTCATTTTTTTGATTGTATCCTTTGGTATATATGGTTGTACCAATTTTCTTCCACAATTTGATCTGAGGAAGTGGGTCTGACCCACAAAAGCTCGTCACCTAATAAACCATCTTGGTAGTCTTTAAAGTGCTGCATAGTCCTGTTTTTCTGGAAATTATGTTTGAGTGTTGGAATGGTCTTTATCTAGGTTGTGTTGTCTTTCTTGCTTGGTTCCCCTAATAGGTCCTTTGGCTCTAACTCCATAGCAAATAATGCTTCTTAAACACACAAAGGCAAGTACCATATTAATTAAAATATATTTCCCAGTTAGCCTCAAACATATGTTCTCATGTTCAGCGAAAATTTAGCTAGCATTAAGATTCCAGAAGGGACACTCAGGGTTGTAAATGACTAATAATTTGTCATAGCAAAACAGGAGGAAAGTCTAATATCCCTGCATTTTTAATCTATTTTTACAATGTTTTTCAGAGTGCAAATTCAATAAGAAAACTAGTAAGTATTTTGTTAATTCCTAAGTATACACTTTTTTTTACTTCTTTTAGATGCTAAAATAAATATCATCTGTAATATTCCCCCCATCTCAAAAATCCTTATTTTGGTATTTTTCTTTCAAGGTTTCACATGGAGGCACTTCAGGGCTCTGTTTTAAGAAGTTAAATGTAACAACACCTACAAATAAAGTACTTATCAACCGTTTGGCAAGAAAGGTGAGAATAATTGTTAATATTCAACATGTGTATATTTAAAGGTAATTTACATAGAACTACTTTATTCTAGAATGTAGCAAACCAGTCTTACAGTTTATGAAGTGTAGGAACAGGATTACTTCTAAGGTACAATCTTCAACCTATCATTTACAACATTATAAAATAATACTAGTGTTCCTCTTGTAGTACAACAATGAGAGCTTGAAGATTGTACCACAAGAGGAACACTAGTATTATTTCATAATGTCGTATAAAATATGCTATCAGCCTTCCCATTTAATTCCTAGAGCAGCCTCATACTTATCGGCTGTGTCTATACTGGCAAGTTATTCCGGAAAATCAGCCGCTTTTTCGGAAAAGCTTGCCAGCCGTCTACACTGGCCGTTTGAATTTCCGCAAGAACACTGATGATCTCATGTAAGATCATCAGTGTTCTTGCGGAAATACTGTGCTGCTCCCATTCGGGCAAAAGCCCTCTTGCGCAAATCATTTGCGCAAGAGAGCCAGTGTAAACAGCACAGTATGGCGATCGGGGCTTTTTTGCGGAAAACCGCATCTAGATTGGCCACAGACGTTTTTCCACAAAAAGTGCTTTTGCGCAAAAGCATCCTGCCAATCTAGACGTGCTTTTCCGAAAATGCTTTTAACGGAAAACTTTTCCGTTAAAAGCATTTTCAGAAAATCATGCCAGTGTAGACGTAACCCTACAGTGTTCTTTCTCCTCTTCTTTCATTCTTGATCTGCCATGCATTGTGGTCACCTGCCCCTCTTCATTGCAGGTGTTTGTCAATTTGTACAGGGCAGTTGCTCAGCACGGCTTTAAGGGACACTGTTATGATGGAATTACTATCTTCCAGGTGGATATTGAACTGAGGCCCTAAAGAAAGCTGTGGTAATCTTCTGTGGGAAACCCAGAACCAAGAAAAAATTGTCAGTTTTCGGCTGATTTACAAAAACCAACATTTGGTCCAATTTCACAGATTTTTGAGGGTGTACCACGATGGTTAAAACTCTGTAAAGCATGTTTATAACAGACGTTCAAAATAGAACTGGAATAAGGACTGTTCCCAGTTTTATTGAGTTCTTGATCTCTAGTCTTATGTGTAATCCATTATATCTCCTTGCTGGTTCATAATAGTTAGTAAGGGTACATCTACACTAGCTCGTTAGTTCGAGCTAGGTAGGGTAATTAGGGCAAGCGGAGTTGCAAATGAAGCCCGGGATTTAAATATCCTGGGCTTTATTTGCATGTTCCCAGGCACCGCCATTTTTAAATCCCCCTTAGTCCGAACTCCGTGCCCGCAGCTATACGCAGCACGGCACGCAGTAGGTAGTTCGAATTGAAGATCCTAATTCGAACTACCGTCACTTCTCATGGAATGACGAGTAACGGTAGTTCGAATTAGGATCTTTAATTCGAACTACCTACTCCATGTCGCGTGTAGCCGCGGGCACGGAGTTCGGACTAAGGGGGATTTAAAAATGGCGGTGCCTGGGAACATGCAAATAAAGCCCAGGATATTTAAATCCCGGGCTTCATTTGCAACTCCACTTGCCCTAATTACCCTACCTAGCTCGAACTAATGAGCTAGTGTAGACGTACCCTAAGAGAGGAAAAATTAAGAAAGGAAGATGAGTTTCTTATTTAAATAGTTTGGTATGTGAACACGCCAGATTTCTTATTTTCATAATTACAAATTTCATAATAACAATTTCCTTCACCATATTCTATCATTGCTTACTTCCTTTGCAATTATAGGAGGTGGAGGTTGACTAAAAATTCCATGATTTGCACATCCTGACTATTTCTGACAAAACGTGAGGGAAATAATCTCCAACTAAATGTAAATGCTACTTGCTATTTCATTAAATGTGTTTCTGAAGTTCTGCTATTCATTTTAAAATATATTTTGTTTATTTTAGGTAGTAGTGGATTCTGTAATTCAACCTTTGCCCTTCTCAAAACATGGACTGTGTATTCAGGATACTGGTGCCATGTACGTCATTAACACACCTGCTGGCATTAGCATTAAGTGGGCTCATGTTACAGGCATTATAGATATACAATATGGCTTACATTCTAACACATCTACCAAGACAGAAGGACTTTGTGGTGAGATTATCTTGTCTATTTATCTTTGTTTTATATTTTGTTTTCGCTGAAGATTTTTTTAGCTTTTTCTCACTGTATGATATGACACTTCCTAATGCCATGGCCAACCAAGACCCTTAGCCATGATCTGTTGTCTTCTTAAAGCACTTCAGATATGAAACTCCCATTCATTGTAGTGAAAATTTGACCTGATCTGAACTCTCAGGATTGGATCAATAACCTATAAATGAATGTTACTTCACTTTTAAAGCACCTATTTAAATAACATCAAGGCAAATAACTATCACTATATTTTATGTATTTAACTTTATTTGAAATTCACCCATGAAAAGCTCTGGCTGCATGTATATATATTAATTAATTCCATTGAGCAAAGGAACCAAATTCTACTCAGAAGAAACTGCCCAGGAGTGAGTTGAGGTGTAGGCAATGCATCAAATGGTATTTGCAGAGAGATGCTAATTCCTGAATGGCTTTCTTCCTCTATCCACCATAAAGGAAGGAGCAACTTACCTCTTTGATGATGCAGCAATTACCAATTTTGTGGCTTTGGCCAAGGAGCTAGTTCCCTTGCAGACACTGGGTCCAGGGTCAGGCCCACTATGATTCCAGCCTTAATCCACCACTGTTCCTGCTTACAAGGCTTTTTGATTTTCAGTTCTCAGAAAGAAAAGCTATAGGAAAAAAGGACATAGCAAGATAAAAGACAGTAACTATGGTAAAACTAGGTGTGGCATTGTGTTAATGCCTCATGAGGTACTGAATGCATCCCTAAGTCCATGCCACTACCAGGCTATTTGACCTAAAATGCACAACAGGTTAATAGGAAAGAACAAAAAGTAAAGCTGCAGAACTGATGTGACCTATACAATTATTAACCTGAAACAGCAGCTTCACTTTGTAACACATTTAATTTGGATATTACTTTTGTGGAGTGCAATGAATATTGATTTGGAAGCTACAACAATAGTAGGAGAAATATTTGTTAAAACTGGGATCCTGTGGTTACAGCAGAAGTGTTCTAAGTGTGAGGAAATTTTGCTTCCTATATTTCTGAAGGATGTGATAATTAACAGTTGCTAGTGCAGAAAATAGCAGGAAGAGTTTGGATTAATGTAGCTTTGTTTTGTATTTATTTATTTTGCAATTCTTATTTTCCCATTTGGATTCACAGATCAAAGTTTTAAAGGCTTCCCTTTTCCCTTTAGCTCTTTGTAGTCAAATTCAAATTGACAAAGTAATATTATAAGTGTAAGTGTAAGAAGGTATTTCAATTGTTGTATGAATACTGCTCAATATCAGTATTTTATAATTTTCAGCAACACATTAATGAAATAAAACTAATGAGTTTTATCTGAACTTCAAATTGTTTATATTATTTTTAAAGAATTAATTTCAAAATAACAGGCCACAGTAATTCCAAACTTGCTGAGAAGAGCGAAGAGCCAGATCCAGGCATAGATTGGGGAAGAAGACATGGGGCGGGAGGGAGGAGGGTTGGAGGTGCAGGGATGTCCTTAGGATTTATGGGGTCCAATGCTGTACTACCAAACTAGTGCCCCTAACCCCAACAATAGTCCAAGGGGTGGATGACAACTTTTTAAAGAAGTGATTTTATAATTTTCAGCAACACACTAATGAAATAATTGTAAAGCAAATTTTAAACTGAGGTCCTGTAGACTAACATGGTAAATTCAGAAAGTGACAGTATATACCTGGGGTTGGCACATGCCTGTTAAATGGTTTCATTACCACTTGATTGGCTCTTTTATGAGTTCAAAGTTCGGCTAATATGTCTATCAGGTTTTTTTCAGTTTTAAGTCAACTAGATCCTCTCCAGAGGAAGCCGAGCCACAGAACAGGGTTAGAAAGAAATGGGTGGGTAGACATGAAGACTCAGTAGTGCCCCAAATTTCCAGGTGCCCTACACAGCTGCGTATTCTGTGTAGGGGTAAGGATTGCCCTGGGGAAGAGGGAAATTCTGACTTTGCTGCATGCTTTACCTTACTTCTAATCCCATGAAAACCTCCTGTAGGAGCTGTATGAGGATATGGTTTCATGACTTGAGAGGGAGAGGGTGGCCCAGGAATCAGCTGCACCTGATCCTATAATCCTTCCAAGCATCAATTAATTTCAACATTAATGTTGTGTGGGTTCTTCTCCATGATGTGACATTTGTCCCCATGAGCAAGCATTGACAGAAAGGGACACCATATCACAACTTTAGGGGTTCAGGTGGAGGTGCTGAGTGATCTGGGCCTTATAAGGAACCTATTACCATAAGGAAGGAACATGTGGAATCTTGGCCTCATTACAGTCAATAGCAAAACTCTAATGGGAATAATCAACATAGTGAGTAATTTGGACTTTGTTGATCATCAATATACAGGTATGTTAAATCACATTTTAAATGACACATTGGTGTTTGTGTTTAAATCATATGAAGCAAAATTTTTAGAGTATGAAAGTGAAATAATCCAGCTACAGTAATTGCACCATAATTACAAATTTGTTTTACATCCAAGCATATCAGAAATATTACAAAATCCTGCCTTCTGGGATTAAAAATCTGTGTTAAATCCATTAATTAAATTAAAAATCTAATAATGACTCAAGAGGAAGTTAAAAAGTGCTCTATGGCCTGGGAAGAAAAGGAAACAAACAAAAAATTAGATGATGGTGATGATGATGATAATAATAATAATAATTAATAAAAAGACATAGGAACCCCAACTGCCCATTTCCCAATCAAAAGTATTCCATCACATCGGACATAGAACATTCTGTTACTTATTTGCTAAAGCAAACGCCAGCCATAAAGGTTCAAATTCTACTATTGTATCATTGACTTTCTATAATATATATTTATAGGAAGATATTTCAGTCATTTCTAAATACCCATCCTTGAGTATGGAAATTGCAGCTGTTGTCTCTCCCTATAATATCAAATTCATACAAGAGTAGTGAACATTAATCAAAATCTTTAAAATATGTTAGATTTTTCTGCACTGAGAAATCAAGTAACACAGGTATTTATGATGAAGGCAATTATTTCATTTGTTTAGAAAATATTTTTGATAACTTCTAGCATTTAGAAATGTTGAGATAAATCCAATAATGTGGCAGATTATGAGCACCTTCCCACCCATGGTGTGTGTCACAGTTCAGGGCAACAACACATTTATTTTCCCTTAATGATTCAGTAAGAGCATCTATTCTCATGCTTTTGGACTACCTCTGCTGTTGCCTCGTGGGTAGAGATACCCATCTGTCGCCCTTCTGACCAGAGCACTTCCAGGCTGGAAATATTCCTAGCAAGAGGAGCTGTCTGAATGATCCTGCCTACTTTCTATTCAGAGGGTTAGCAGTCTAACTGCTCAGTTATATGTTACCACACAGCACTTTCTATGCAAGCCTAGTTTAATCTTTGAATAAAAGCTCAACAGAAAAAAAATATGAAAACAATAAAAGAACCTATACACGTGCTAATACGATTACCAGAGATTTCCTGCCCAACTGTCTTGAACATGGGTTCTGGCAAGTGAATCCTTCAAACCTTCCCACAGGTGTCTGTTGTGGTGACAAGTTCATAAAAGCCTCGGCTCAGAACTAGAAAACTCATAGTGTGTTTAGTTCAACCTTTATACAGTTCAAGGATCTTTGATCTGGGGTTACCAGAAGCAGGTAATTAGCAACAATCGATTTTTCTCCCTGGTTGGTAGCTTCAAAAACCTGGATCTGAAGTGGGTCATTTGTATTTCCCTCACCTCCAAGTATTTCCTAGGAAATGCACTGCAAAGTCCTTTGAAGTTCCTCATATCTTCCAGAGATTGCATTCCAGAGATGCTGTCTTCTTGCTAAAAATATTCCATTCAGTCCCACATAAATATTTGCCTTTTTAATACAATGAACTCCAAAGATGTTAAATTAATTCACAAAGTTTTGGCAGGGATATTGCAATCTGTCACAGTGAGCTGTTATTTGCATAACCACTCTTATTTAACTTAATAATAGAACTTGTGGAAATAAGAGTATTCAGTATGAATAAGGGTGTTTGTGCAAGATTCTATGTGAGTTTGCCATTTTGCCTGTAATGTATCTTAGTATGAGTTTTTTCAGAGAGTATTTTTAACTAAATTCAGTGATGTCAGTCTAGCTAAAATTCTAACTTTCACAAATGTTGAGACTATTGCAAATAAAAATGTTTACAGATTGATTTGATCCAGTGTTAACATTTACCATATCATTTGTACTTTTCTTGTACTTTTTCAGTTGTTCTAGAGTTATTCACTAAATGTGATGCATTATTTTAAGGTGTGTGCAATGGAGACCCAGTTGATGATCTCAAGATGCAAAATAGGACTATAATTACAAATATGGAAGACATCGAAGCATTTATTAAGAGCTGGGAAATTGAGAAATCAGTTGATGTAACAACCAGGAGGCCAGTAAGAAACTGTACTGAAGATAACTGCACTTACTGTATGGAGCTGTTAAATAGAAGAGTTTTTGTCCCATGTCACAAAAAAGTAAGTACAAAGAAAGAGGCAGTTCCAAGTCTAAATTAATTAAATTTATAGTAAAAAATGTAATGCATAGCAATTCTTTTTAAATGTCACTTGCTTCCAATGTTTAGAGAATTAATTCCTCCTCCATGTTGCTCATGGGTAACCTCAGATGGCCTCTGAGGTTCAGGAGTAATGGTAGTTCGGAATAGGAAGCCTAGTCCGAACTACCTAGTCCGTGCCGCGTCCAGCTGCGCGGCACGGAGTCCGCACTAGCGGACATTTAAAAATGGTGGCGCCCGACAAGATGCAAATGAAGCCCGGGAAATTCAAATCCCGGGCTTCATTTCCAACTCCGGTTGCCTACATTACCACCCTAGTTCGAACTACGGTGGTAGTGTAGACATACCCTTACTGCATTGTTAGCCTGAGCTATACCTCAAGTTTCTCCCCAATCCAACACTCGTGCGCGCGCACACACACATACACACATCTCTTACTTGCTCTACGTTGTGTTCTAAGGTCTAGCTAACCAGCATGGGAGGCAGGGAGTATATAGGGATGTGTTGAAGCCAAGTGCTGTTGAAGCTAGAGGTAGTAATTTGGTGGGATTAAATTAAAACAACAGCTCAAATTAAAACAACAACTCATCAGCTGCCTGTGAAGCTTCAGCATGGTCATGCTCTCTGGAACTAGCCTAGCTCCAATGGAGTAACTTGAGTGTACTAACCTGAGCTAACAATACAGTGAAGACAAGCTGAGAGTATGTGGGCAACCATATTAGTATGTAACTCTTGGGAAATATGCCACACTTGAAAAGATCATATAAATGGCAATGATACCACTGCCTAACACTGAAATATTGTTCAGAAAGAGCAGTATACTTTGTTCTGCCATGAGCAGTGGGGATTAGCTTAGATGACCTATTGAGATCCCTTGCAGTCCTACAATTCTGTGATTTACTGTTCAGGTTTATGTGTGTGGTAGACCAGTTTAGAACTCCAAATCACAACCCTCTTGGGTTTGTATCTGAAGTTTAGGAACTTGAATTTGGATTGAGGTTGCACAATTGACCCACTTTTATTAAGATTATAAAGTTTAATATTGTGACTTTTCAGTTTTTGTTGTTTATTATAATATATTCTGACATGAAGGCCCCAATCCAACAAAGCCTTAAGCACATGTTCAATTATAAGCACTTGAGTAGGTAGTCCCATTGAAATAATTGTTTAAGTACTTGGACTTAAGCACATTTAGGTACTCTGATGAATTAGGGCTGTTATAAAAATGAAATAAAATAGTGTCACAAATAGTGTCACTTGTGTTTCTCCTGACCACTGCTGCTTCTCCAGGCTCCACAGCCATTTCCCCAGTGCCCCCTATTCTGCTGTCTCTCCTCTCCCCCATTGTCCTTGAGCACCCTACACCTCTCACACGCACCCCAGCCTGGCTCCACTGCTTAGCTATAGTAACTGCAGCTGCTACCAGTTCGGTCTCATGTCCCTGTTCTGGGCTCCACCTAGAGGAACACAGTGGGAGAGCTCAGTGCTGGTGCCTTTCCCAGGAAAGTCCTTCACAGCTGTGCGTGGCAGAAATCAGGGCAGGGCAAGTGACTGCATTTTCCCTCCTTTCCAAATGTCACTTACAGCCCCATTTAGACCCCATGAAACAAGACTACATTAATGCATGTTTATAAAGCACATCAGTAGAGTCTATAGTTTAGTGCACTCTATACTTCACTTCTCTCTGGTGCACTTTGCTCAATTGTGTAGACAAGCCTCATTATTTCTTTACCATCTGAACCTGTATGTTCTATTTATGAGCTGCATTCAAGTTTGACATTGTGTAAAGCCACGAATGCTTGGCCCAGCCAGAATGAAACTTATTCTCTCGTGCACATGAATTTGACAGAGCCAGAGAAGATGGAGTGTCCTCTGTGCTTCATAGAAGATAAATGAAACAAAATTCAAAAAGTGGAGAGGTATACAAAAGTGGGGAAGGTGTAGAATCATAGAAATAGTGATCATAAAGATAAAAGGTTTTGACTTCCTGTCAGTGAGGATCACTGATGATTCTTTTCCCTTCCCATGGTAATATTTCTTGTAATTAACTAGCAACTTCGATTACAATCTAAACTGCAATGTAAATCTAGGTTTCACCACAAGACTTTTGTGAGAAGATGTGGATCAACAATACCTACTTTTGGAATTATGAATGTGATGCACTTTCAGCATATGTGTCTTTGTGCAACAAACATAACATCTGCATTAAGTGGAGGACACCAGATTATTGTTGTAAGTAAATAACATTGTTCTATGTCCAGATATAATTTTCTATCAATGCAACATTTCTGTGTCCGGTATACTAGCCAGCAATTTTTTTTATATATTTGCTCTTTCAATTGCATCCTTGTTAAGTTATGGTAAATTTTGTTAAAACGCTAAAATTATGCCTTCGGTTAAATATGTTGTATCTTAATTCTAATCTTGACTAAATTAGTCATGTGTATTCCTAAAACATAATTTTTAAATTTACATTGCTAAAATGTAGAAAATAAGCTTTTTATGATATATATATATGTTGCTCTTAGTACATATTTTCTCCTTTGAAAATAAGCAATACTTTATTTCCTCTGTATGTGTGATGTATAGCTCTGGGTTGTCCTGATGGCAAGGAATACCAGCCTTGTGTGCAACCCTGTGCAGCCAAAACATGCCTAAATAAATGGTTCTATGAAGAATCCCCTTGCTCCTATTTGAGGGAAGACTGTGTGTGTAAAAATGGAACCATTCTACATCGAACAGACTCTGACCTCTGCATACCTGAAGAAAAATGTGGTAAGTAAAGCTGAGAAGAATAGCTGAGTAGGTATGTTAATACTTATAACTGGTGATTTATATTGACATCTCCTAGCAAGTTATGTACCCTGTCTTTACCCAATCACCAGAGAATGTGGATCTGTTACAGTCCCAGGTACAGAGCTTGTCTTTTTAGCTCAAGCTCATGTTTTCAGTTGTGGAGGTCCTTGGCTCAATCCCAATTATTAGTCAAAGAGCTATTCCGCTTGGATGTCCTTACTGTGTTTCTACAACTTGTTCCTTCCCTTAGAACATTTAAGATGATGTGTCTGTTCTCTATACTGAGTGGTTTTATCCACCCTCTGTTCAAGAAGTTTGTAATTAGAGGGTGCTTTGGGCCGGGAGTAGTTCCTGCCAGCTTGCTTTGGGGAGTCTAGGTTTCTAGGTGTTCATGGCTCCTTGGTTTGGCAGTCCCAGCTTGCAGGTTATGCAGCTCCAGGGCACCCCACCAAGCAGGCTGCCTCAGAGACAAAGAATTTAAAAATGTTCGAGTTTTATGCTGATTCAAAACAAAACTAAACTTTAAAATATTGGAACCTTCATGGCAGCTCTAGTTATACTCCTGTATTAACATTCAGGTTAATTACCTCTAAGTTATACTGGACAATTGGCATTATTTAGCTCCAACTGTTAACTGTTTTTTTTTTTAACCCAAAACTGTGGTAACTTAACTGTTATTTTAAGGCAATGTCAGGTACAAATCAATGGGGGAGGCGAATCCTGTCTGATAAATGGTTGGCACAAACATGAGTGCTTTTATCCAAAGCTCTTACTTACTGAGGCTATATCTAGACTGCAGCTGCGTCCAAGGAATGCATCCGCTCTTCTGAAAATTTTTTCAGAAAAGTGGACATGCTGTTTTACCATCCCTGTAAACCTCATTCTATGAGGAAGAAGGGATATGTCAAAAGAGCAGATTTTTCCAAAAATTGGCACCGTGTAGATGCCAAATTATAGTTAGAAGCCAGATTATAGTTACCCCAAGTTTGAGATGGTTTCCAGTGATCAAAAGTCAGGCTTTCAGGGGAATGCCTGTCCAGCTGCTGGGGAAACATCAGTCTTTGCTCAAAGAAAAGCTTCCTTGAATAGTTCCAAAGTGTATTTTTATAGCTAACTTTAGTGGGTCATTATAGTAAACCCTAGTGGGTCACCAATTTTTAAAATTTTAGTAAAATTGCTCATTTTTTATTAGCAAAGTATTTTTAGCATTTATAGTTATAAACACAATAAAACATACATGTTAAGGACACTGAAGATCAGCTATTGAAGTATTCCCCTTCATTTTCATGGTCTGTTAACTTTCTGTTATGTCAGGAGTGAGCAATAAGTTAGGCAGTTTGCCAGGGTTAGCCCCTGGCAAGCTGTCAGTGTTTTATTTACCTGCACATCTGTAGGCATGGCTGCTTGCAACTCTCATTAGCCATTACTCACTGTTCCTGGTCTATGGGAGCCATGGGAAGTGGCGCAGACTGGGACACCACTTCCCAGAGGTCCCATTGACCAGGAACGATGAACCACAAGCGTCTGTACCTGCAGACAGTGCAGGTAAATAAAGCACCAGTGGCCCATTGGGCTAACCTTGGTGAACTGCTTCCAGCCCATGAGCTAACTATTGCCCACCCGTGTTACATCTTCCCATTCTAATTAGCAAAATTGCAATTATACAGCTATTTGGCCTTGCTTCTAACAATTTTTTGAATGGCAAGGTAAGCCCATAGTGCTGGACACACAAAATGGCTGCATTTTTATCAAATATAATTTCCCACTACACGGACAGTATATAAAGGATATGGCAGTGTCTGTCTGGATCAAATGGTTTTAAATGCCCTTCGCAGGTGGGAAGCCTAGGCTGAAGTTGTCTTGTGATGCTGTTTCTGAGTTACAAATAGATTCAAGGAAGAAAGTGAGTTTGGATACTTATTCAGAATTTATGATTCTGTGGGAATAATATAGAAAGATTCGGACAATTCAGAAATGAGGGTTACAGGAATTGGAGTAAGAAGTTCTCCATTTCAACATTATTTTGAAAGAATGGCTTGCTATGTAGATACGCACTATGTTATTTCAAAATAACATCAGTTATTCCAAAATAACACTGCTATGTAAACGTAACCTTACGGATATATTTTGGCATAAGTTTTCACAAGCAAAAACTGCTTCAACATCTGGCGAAGGAGGTTTTTGCTGACAAAAGGTTATGTCCAAAAAAATCTTTAAGGTGTTACAGGACTCCTAGTTGTTTAAGTTAGTCACTGACTTCTTGAATTTCTCCCAGAAACAAAGAGGAAGTATGTGCAGAAACTTGAACTGTGATGTTATGTACATCATACTATTCAGCGTTGCTGGCATACCACCTACAGTTTCTGTTAGTAGAATAGATCAATTAAATTAATCATTTTCTATGTATCAAATTCAATCATGTTTTCTAAAACAATAGAAACCTTTCATTAAATACTTGATAAAATATTGCATATCATTTTATGCATGAGGTTTTCCAGCTGACACATTGTACTTGTACTAATCTGAAATAAATTTGTGCTAAATACAATCTGAAGGATGTATTGTTTTTCTTCCTTAGCATGTACAGATAATGAAGGACAGCCACGTTCTGCTGGAGAGGTTTGGAATGGGTCCATTAAAGGGTGTTGTATGTATAACTGTTTGGAGAATGGAAGCATTATTCCTATAGAACCTGAATGCAGTGAAGACCCTCTACCAATTTGTGAACGGGAAGGTGAAGTTATCATTAATGTCATTGAAGAGAGGGCTTGCTGTCCAAAGAAAGTTTGTGGTATGTATGCAGCCAAACATCTTTTCCATAACCAGCATTCTAAGGAGATGTTTAAACATTTATTGACATGGTTTGGTTTACAGGCAGGATTCAGGGTAAAACTTTCAAAGTGCCTAATTGATAGAGAGTTGAACAGCTACTTTGAAAAGGTGATGAAAGCTCATCACACAATAAACCATCTTGTTAGTCTTTAAAGTGTTACGACAATTAACCACAGCAACCTGGAGTATGAATCTACCTTGCACTAGCCTATCACAGTGTAACTACGTGAGTGGACCCTGTTGATGCACATTACCAGTTAGTTAATGCTTTTTGAGCTAGTCCAAAGAGGACTAGAGCTAAGTTCTCTACAAGCTGTAAACATGCATCAGCAGAGTGCAAATGAACAGTTAGATTGTGGCAGGATAGTACAGGGGAGATTCACACCTCAGCTTATTGCACATTATGTATTCTATTGTGAAAATAACAAATAATGGTATTATTGATAACATTGGCATATTGCTGTTTGCCCAGAAAGCAGCTTAGTGTCAGTTGATGGCCAGATGTTTTCTCTCTGTCCCTGTTTCTCACTAAAAGAAGTATGCTTCTAGTATCTGATATGTTAAAAGTCATAAAGATGCTTTCTTGAATGTGTTAATTAAATGCTTTTGTGGAAATAGAGGGCAAATGGGATAATCAAAATGGTATTTTCACTCTCTAGATAGCTACTTGTATCCACTTGCCAGTTATCAACCAGTGTATTGTCTAGTCACATCCAGACATATAAGAATATTTGCATATGTTATATTTTTTTCAGAATGTAACATGACTTTGTGCGAGGCTATAGTTCCAACATGCAAAAATGGTGAAAAATTGATGGTAGGCTATAGTGCCCTTTCCTGCTGTCCACAATACCAATGTGGTAAGTAGTATACGGAGATAAGATGTAGAGGATATTTTCCATCCCTACATTATCTGTGGTAATTGTGACAGATGACTATTCTGCCTGTATTAACAGATCATTGTAAATAACGTAACAGAAATGTTTCTACTCTTTCTCTCATGTTATTTCTACTCTGCTCTTCAGGGTTTATATGCATTTTTGTATTTGTTCTTTCTGCCAGTTTTGATTTCCAATCAATTTAATTTTGTTCAGATAAGAGAAGAGAAAATGAAAATAAAAGAAGTTAAGCAAAATAGTTTCTTTTATTTTTAGGACTATTTGTGTGACTTTTTATTAGGGATTCTGACTTTATCTTTTATGCAGAATGTGATCCGTTAGCATGTCCCAGTGCCCCCCGTCCGGAGTGCAGAGAGGACCAATTTATTGTTGAAGCAAAACAGGAAGATCCTTGTTGTTTTTCTTATCTATGTGGTAAGAAGCCTTTACTGTAGTACCTTTCTTGTGGGTAGACAGGATATTATAGGGTAATTGTTCTCAACCTTTTTTCATTAAGGAACCCTAGACAATTCGGAATGGAGGTGAAAACCTCTTTGGAAATCTATAGGCTATATATAGTTGAATTCTGTTTAGTATGTTTTCAATTTGTCATACATGGACTTTTTAGACATAGTCTGCAGACTCCCACAGGTACATGGTTCACAGGCTGAGAACTACTCTTACAGTACTCTTATCTGCAAATAAGAAAAAAAGAGAATTCTATTTGCATGCTTGATAATGTTGCTTGAGAATCCTGTCACAGGATTGACCTGGGCAGACTTTTATAGCTATAAGTGTTCCCTCTGGATAGATTGTTTTGCAAGTTAGTGCCTAGTATTCCTAGATTACTTTTTTAATGTTAATGCTGAATTGCACCCTAAAGATTGATGCTATTTCCCACTTGACAGAAGTACAGAAATTGGACTTATCTGAAAATATTTGGATAAATTTCATTTATAGAATTATTTGCCTTCAGTATGCAGTTTCATAAAGTGTACCGCACCAGAACTAATTTTTTCAGTCAATGTAGCAACTATCTGGCTGTGTCTACACTGGCATGAATTTCCGGAACTGCTTAAAACGGAATACTATTCCGTTTTCAGTTTTTCCGGAAAAGGAGCGTCTACATTGGCAGGCTGCTTTTCCGGAAAAGCCCTTTTCCCGGAAAAGCGTCTGTGGCCAATGTAGACCACAGAAATGGCCAATGTAGACCACAATGTAGACCATAGAAAATTGCCATTTTCGCGATCGGGGCTTTTTTCTGGAAAAGACTACTGGGCTGTCTACACTGGCCCTTTTCCGGAACAGTGTTCCGGAATAAGGACTTATGCCCGAGCGGGAGCAGAATAGTTTTTC